CCCCCTTTCTTTTAAAAAAACTTTTATAAAAAAAATATATAAAAAAATAAAGAGATAATGTGACCCAAATAAACTAATAAACTAATAAATTAGCATTTTTTCTACTTCCAAAAATGGCTTTTAGTCGGTTCACTTTACTACTGTCTAAGTTCAATTTGATTAGCAATATAACTGTGGGGATATATTTTCTGAATACCAACACGTGGCATGGTGACGCCGACGTGTCAGCCGAGGTGCCACGTGCCCTGGTAGTTAAGCCGAGGTAATCTCAGAGAAGCCGAGGTCATCTCCGAAGATATCGGAAACCGAGATAAAGGGCCAGAGTCCTAAGGCAAAGAGGGGACTTAACCAAGATAAGGATAAAGTTCTTAGGGAGTTTATCTTTATCTCTTAAAGAGTCCAGAGTAAACAGTAAATTGGAGTTCATAGAAGGAAACCACTACTGTAAAGTATTGTGAAGAACCTAGTTAGTACGCGTGACACGATAAATTCAAGCAATAAGGTTCCGTTTGGTAATACTTACGTTTTCAGTTTTCTATTTATATTTATAAAAATTTTAAAAATTCAAATAAAAACTTATTTGGTAAAATTTTTGATTTATAAATCAGTGGTCTCAGTTTATAAATTTGGCAAAAAAATAAAAACACAAAAAATGTGTTTCCATTTTGAGTTTTCAGTTTTTTTTTTTTTTTACCGAGGAAGAATTTCAAAACATGTTATTGCTTGCTAAATCAATAGGGGTACAACATGTAGAAGTTGTCGTTGAGTTGAAAAGTGATATTGGTCAGTCGAGTAGCTCCGGGTCTCTGCGTGTGGGGGGTGAGGAAGAAATTGATGCACTACGGAGATTTTGCCACCATAAGGAAAAGGCGTTGTTGTCAGCCCCTTGGGCAAATGGTATTACGCATGCGGGACAACGGTTTGTTGGAGGTGCACAAGAATTTCGTGATGTTTTATGTAAGTATGCTATCCAATGTGGGTTTCAGTTTATGTATGTCAAGAACGAGACAACAAGGGTTACTGCGGTGTGTGCGATGCGCGAGGAGAGAGGCTGCTTGTGGGCTATACATTGTAGAGTACAACGAGCAAATAGTTTTTTCTACATCAAGAGGTTCAGTGATATGCATAGTTGTGGTAAGGATGTCCGAACACCAAAGAATCCGATAGTTAGTTCTGATTTGGTGTCGAGTACTATATCTGAAATTGTGAAGGACAAACCGTTGACTCGGTCATGTGAGGTGGTGACTATTTGAAGAGGGATTATGGGCTAAATGTGAGTTACCACATGGTATGGTTGGCCATGGAGAAAGCAAAGGCTATTATTCATGGAGATCACTCATTATCGTTTGACCAGTTGAGGTGGTATTCGGATGCTGTGATGCGTTACAATCCGGGGAGTTATGTCAATATTGACTGTGATGCGAGTAGCCAATAGTTTTGTCATTTCTTTGTATCATTCGTTGCGTGTATTTATGGGTTCAATTCTTATCGGCCTTTATTATTCCTGGATGGAACATTCCTCAAAGGAAAATACAAAAGTTAGCTACTTGCGGCAACGGCGAAAGATGAAAACAATGGTTAATATTTTTTTTAGTTGTCTATTCATGTAAATATTCACATTGAGCGGCATAATGTGGACATATGACAGACGATTACACAATGTCTTCCACATTTACACTGGTGTCAATGTTTACATTAACACACATTGATGTGAACAACAACATAATATGACTGATTGAGAAATTAATAGTAATGTGAACATCCACATTATTATACACTGATGTGAATGTTTACACTAGTGTTTACTAATGTGAGTTTATCCATTAATGAACAGTAATGTGAATGTTCACATCATTGATGTTTACGAAATCAAATCCAAAAACAACAACAGTAATAGAGCAATATAAATATAAACATTCACATGACCTATTTCCTTTATAGTGTTTTTTGTAAACTACTTGTGTTACTATTCACATTGGAATATTGTGAACAATTGTTTAATGGTGTTGTGCTGTAGGTCTATTTCCTATTGCATTTGCGATTGTTGATTCAGAGACCACGGCCAATTAATCGTGGTTCTTGCATGAACTTAGCAAGGTTGTTGATGGTAAGCATCAAATTACACTACAAGAAAAGTGGGATGTAACGGCGTTTATTTGACAGCGTTTAAAAAAACGTCTTTGATTCTGATATTTTACGGCGTTTTTTTAAACGTCGCATTCTTATTGACTGATACGACACCATTTTAACTTTCGAAAACGCCTTCAAATGTTTTTTCGTTTTTTTTTTTTAATGTAAGACTTAAATAGCCTATTCTCTCTCTCTCGCTCTCACTATACCCTTGATTTCACTCTCTCTTGCTTCAAACCCTTTCGTTTCTCTCGATTCAAACCCCTTCATTTAGTAATCGATTAATCTGCAACCCTTCTCTTTAAGTATTCGATTCACCTCTTCGTTTATTCGATTGAAGTATTCGTAGATCATTGATTCGCAGATCATAATGTGCCATCTCGAGTTCGTGTTTGAGTTCGCAGGTCTTTCTTCATGGTAAGTGTTGATCAGTCTTATCTCTATCTTCTCAAATTCAAGTTCGATTGAAGATGATACTTACTGATGGAATCATTCGATTCAGGTATGCTAGGTTTTATCTACTTTATCATTCTTAGATCAGATCGATCGATTGAAGATCTGTTGATCGACTGAAGGTGATTTCGAAGTTCAACCTTCTTCAGCTCTATAGCGATCCCGGTTGTCCCTTTACTGTTCTGTTGGATTCCGGACTCGGTTCCGTGAAGTTGGTAGTGGTATCTATCTTGTTGTCGTCCTTTAATTCCACTTGATTAAGTTTTAGGATGTTTTGGGCAGGGTTGTTACAGGTTGGTTAGGCCTTGGTTTCAATTCCTTGTTGCCCAGTTTTTAGGCGGTCCGCTCGAGTGGGTCTTCTTGCGCTCGAGCGAGGATTGCACACCTCCAGTATTTCGTGTTCCTGCAAAATTTCTGCAGATGTGATTTTTATGCTCGAGCGGGTTTGTTTGCGCTCAAGCGGTAGCGCTCGAGCGGGTTTGTTGGCGCTCGAGTGGGTAGTACTTTTAGGGTATAAGTTCTGGGAGGGGGAAATCTACGCTCGAGCGGACTGGTTTTCGCGCTCGAGCGGAAGTGCTTTATTCTTGTGTCTTGGCGCTCGAGCGGGCCTTATTGCGCTCGAGCGTGTCCAGATTTTTGTTCTTGGCGCTCGAGCGATGTGTTCTCCGCTCGAGCGGGTCATGCGTATATGAGTTATCCGCTGGGTGATTTTAAATCACTTTTTTACTTTCCTTTCTCTCTCCTCCTTTTTCTAAAACCCATTTTGAGAGCTCCTCTCTCTAAAACCTTGACTTCTCTCTAGGTATTGATCTAGTAGGAGTGATTTCCTCACCTTTGGCCTTTACAAAAAAGTTGTTGATCGTCGAGGGCTATCTTTTGATCCGAGAAATTCATGGGTTAGAGCATTTTCGTCTTCTTCACCTTCTTGGTTGGGAGTCATCTTTTGAGGTAGAGATAACCTACTCCTTACTATGGGTTTTGTCTTTAAATTTTAGTATTTTGAGATGATGGGGTTGGTTTGGTAATGTTATGAAAGTTTGGGGCTTTTGTGCAAATTTACAAAAGTTGGGGTTTTAACTATATAAAACCTAGTTGCATGTTTGGCATGGAAAAGTGAAATTAATGATAAAACATTAATGAAAATGGAACCTAAGGGTCGTAATGTTAATTATGGAAAATGCCCTAATTACATTGGTTAATTAATTCGCATAATTAATTATGAGAAATGAGGAATTGATTTGGAAAGATATGAGATTAAAGGGTGTAGTTGGATTATTTATCGCTCACCTAGTTGAAATGTTGATTATATATCCATTGTTGCATTTATTTTCTGTATAGAAATAACTGCTTTGGGCTATCGGTGGAGGATAGTCTTGATTGTTGTAGACAATGCATGATGATTAGGCAAACTGAAACTAATCACTGGAATGTGTCATTGAGTATGGCAGTTGAAAGAATACATTAAATTTATGTATTGTGTGATGATGTGTATAATTATTGTTTATATGCATTGTGTTGTGTTGGAGGAGATAGGGGATGTACTCTACGGTTTAGGGGAAGATAGGGGATGGACCTCTAAACTGGATGTTGTTGGAAGAAGATAGGGGATGGACTCCATAGATAGAGCTCATATGCTTATCTAGTAATGTGATGACACAGCTCATATGCTTGTCCTTGGAAGTGTGATAGTACTCTTATGCATATCTGTGGAAGTGATGATATAGCTCGTATGCTTATCTGTTGGTGTGTGATATAGCTAGCATACTTATCTATTATGAAATGGAAAAGTGTTTAATATGAGTTACTGTCTCATATAAGTTGTTTGGCCAGGTTCTAAGCCATGGTTATAAATTGAGAATTGAAAAGAATTGGAAAATGGACTGTAACATGGACTTGTATGTCATGATACTGTAAAGTGTTATAAGTGAAAGTATCAGTGTTGGCCATCAATCAACTGCTAATCTTTTAGTCATTGTTCATATTGGGTTTAGTGTATTTCTACTGGGTTGTGGCTCACCCCATATGGGAACATCATTTTCAGGTACAGGTAGTATGCCACCTCCAAGGACATAGCTTGGGAGGCTAGAGGCGGACATAATTTTGTTGTTTTATTTCCTTTTGATGTATTACATGTAAATTCAAGCTAAGGGCTTAATGTGTAATGAGTTAATACTCTCTTTTTGTAACCAAGTGTTAACTTGGAAAGCTGTAAGCCCATAGGGCATTTGCTTTTGTTGTTAACATGTAATACTTTTGTAATGAAATACTCTCATAAATTGAAGAATGTGGATCTTATATATAAATGCATGTTTATATGGATGGGTTTAATGTTATTATTTTGAGGGCGTTACAAGCTCGGTGATTCAATCTCAGATTCATTCGGCGATTTCGAAGTTCTCTCTCGATTTCAAAGCTCAGTGATTCAATCTCAGATTCGTCCAGCGAGGAAAGTGAGCACCATCATCTACCAAGGTGAGCACCATCGCTTCAGAAAATCTCAAGCTCTATACCTCTCTCTCTCTCTCTCTCTCTCTCTCTCTCTCACAAGTTCTTGCTTCCCGTCGATTCTTCTCCTAGGGTTTTCAATCAATGTTTTGAAGAATTTTAATCACTATTTTTCCCCAGATCACCAGAATTGATTTTTCAACCAGTGTTCTTTATTTTTCACTCTCTGTTTTTTTATTACCCTGTTTTAAACCCTAAATTAGCATCAACAATATTAGCCTATTTTTTTCCTATGTTGATCTGATTTTTGGTCCCAATTCTGATGTATGCACATATTATAATTTTCTTAATGGCATTGTTGTTAGGGTTGCAAAGTTTAATGGCTCTAGCTGATTTTTAGGAGTTAAGTTTGTGAATCTTTTGTACTTATTCCAGTGACAAGATTAGGGGCTTTAAGTAAGAAATAAGAGTGAAAGATGCGACTGTAAACAGAACTTACTGTCTACATACAAATAAATATGGAAATCAATTGTTCCAATGAGTAATAGATAAAAAGATTATGAATACTGAATGATAGAATGCTGCCAAGCTTACAAATTAATATATTTACAGATTCTCATTAGTAAAACTCAGTGGCCATGTGGTCATGATTGTCTTGACTTCTCTTTTGGAAAAAAATGTTCCCCAGTATAGGATGATAGGCTCTGACCCCTACTCAATTGTATTAGGGAACCAATATATTCATATTCATAAAATGATACTGGTTTTAAGCATGTCCTGTTGATTGATTGTTTTTTCAAAACTCTAAAACTCATTACATGTATTTTTTTTTTTTTTTTGAAATCTGGTTCTGCAGACACAGTGGCCAACAATCCCTCGGAATTTACCAAAGATACTTCGTCCCTTGATGCTTTTGCTCAAGCCATTGATTCAGTTTCTTATGCTTCTTTGGTTTCTTTGTGTCAAAATACCTGCTTCTGATGTTTTTATAGTGCAGGTGAGCTCTGAAAGATGTATGTGGCTGAATTATTGTCAAAATACATTGTTTGACACTTTTTAAGTTATATTGTTTTGGCAGTGTTTTGATGCCCTTTTTATTACTGTAAATCTTTAGAACTTTTCTTATATAACTGCTAAAGTGTTAGCATTGAAAAAGTTCATTGAAATAAGCATGATTTAGGTAGAATATTTGGTAACAATTTCATTAGAGGAAGTATTATATGTTATCTTTTGTGCATTATTATTATCTTATCGGTTCTTTTTATTGAATGCTTTGAAGTTTTGGGAAAGAATATTGTTAGTGTCCAATTTCTGTCTTTCTTCTTTTACTAGGGGTCACATACTGAACAAAATAGTAGCAGCTTCAACCTATAAAAATATTGGTGGCCCAAAATGGGCCTAACCTGTAATCATCCATGGCTATGTTTGCTTGGCCATGATTCTAGTCAGTTTTGAATAGGAGTGTTGTGCCTTGCATGCTTGGATTGATATTTTGGTCTAAACTACCTTGTTTCGGCTTCTATAGAATCCACCTTCTGTCCCAACTTTAGTGGCTGTAAAGTGGGCAAGCTGGTTGAGGCGTTCTGCATTTATTGTTGATTGGCACAATTTTGGATATACTTTGCTAGCATTGTCTCTCGGAAGAAGTACTGTTTTTGTGGCAATATACCATTGGCACACTTGAATTGACTTGTAAACTTTCCTTTGGATTTGAAGGCCTTTCTTTGTCTTCATACCTGAAGTGTGAGTTTTTGGTGCATGTCTAGGTTTGAGAAGCATTTTGGGAAGATGGCAAATGGTTCCTTATGCGCGACAAGGGCAATGCAACATGAATTGGCACAAAACTGGGGAATTAAGTAACATGGGTCTTCTAAAAGTTTGCAATAGCCTCCATTCTGCTTGTTCAAATTTATTATTAAGTCGTTTAATGGTACATTTTTTGTTTTCTTCCATGTTTTAAATTTGTAGTGCTGCAGTTCTTTATGACCAGCCTCCTGAGTTTTTATTGAATTGGTTGATTGCTTATATTTGGATCAGTGTCTTGCCAACAAACTGCTTAAACTTATTATAGGTCAAGGCTAGCTAATTTTCCTGGTTTGGCTGCACCTGATGGAATGGACACATCATATTTGGCATGATTTTTTTTTTAAAATTAATGTGCATCCTCATAAGTGGATGCATTGAAGTAACTATATTCCTATTGTATTCAAACTAGTTGATATTCATTATTTTTGGAATCTTTGCAGATTACTGACTTGCCATTTTCTCTATATTCAACATTTGTCATTGAGGCCCGCCATGGTTTCATCAAAGTTTGTACTCTCTCATTACTGATTGTCATGTTCATATATTGTTATTTCCTACCTTAAAATTTTAGTTGTTACATTCTTGCTCTTGTTTTGCTGAAGTAACAGCAAACAATATGGTTATTCATTAGGGACATGATTAAAGGAATCATCCTAGCAACTATAATTGGACCGCCTATTGTCGCAGCAATTATTGTAATAGTATAGGTACTGTTTTTTTCACTGTATGAAGACACTTCGGTTTTACTTTGCTGGTTGGTGATAAAAAATGTTCATTTGTTTAGGTTGCAGAAAGGAAGTCTTTGGCCATCTATCTTTGGGGGTTTCTACTTGTACTATCACTTGTGATGATGACTGTGTACGACGTTTTAATTGCGTCACTTTTTAACAAGCTCACTCCAGTGAGTTTCAAATATATTTTTAGCCCATTTTAATTGAAGAAATCAATTCAAGTTCATGTTTAGTTTAATGGTAATTTATTGTGGTATGTTCTGTCAAACAGCTTCCGGATGGAGAACTCTGCATGGTTGAGAAGCTATTTATTCACTACGTGGTCAGATCTTATCTTGGGTTATTTGAACAGGTTTACTGTCAATAAGTTGCGTTGACTGTTTATTTGAATAGGTTTACCGTCAATAAGTCAGTGATTCATCAGAGCGATTTCGAAGTTCTCTCTCGAAATTGAAATCGAAGTTCATCTCAGTGATTCATATCGGTGAGCTCCAGTCTCTCTTTCTCTCTCTCTCTCTCTCTCTCTCTCTCTTAAGGTGAAATCAATCCTGTGAAATTCTATGAATGGTTTCGATATTTGATTTGAAACGATCCTGTCATATCCCTCATTTTGCTGAAATTCTATGAATGGTTTTTCTAATCTTATAATTTGAACTAAAACTTCTTATTTTGCTGTAATTTGTTAATAGAGAGAAGTACGAAATTGGTTAACTGATTGGTGGGGGAGAGACAGATAAATGGAATAAAAAAAAGAAATAAATTGCTATTAAAAACTATCCCACTTCACATGGCCAAGCCTATTGTTAATTGATATGGGATCATAAGAATCAAAACAAATCCCTTCATAAATATTATTTTGTCTTAATGTAAACGACTCTATTAGAGGATTCCATTGAATGTTTGAAAAAATGACAATAGTACCTCTGAGTTGTAGTTGAAAATTGTTGTAATCATTATTTTGTCTTCCGTAGTATTTGATTGCTTTTTGCAGTATGGCGTTTGTTGATGCAAGATACTGGTATTTGGCCTAGCTATACATCTGTTTCTTCGTTAATATTTTGTTTTTTGTTTTAGAGTTTTACTCGGGGTAAATTAAAAGACTCCTGGTTTTGTTGGATTTTAATCTTCATACGGTTCTTGCCTAATTTAAACGAACTTTTTTTATTTTATTTTTTTACAAATTGTTGTTTCTATATTTCTTATGAATTACTTTCTAAAATTGCTTCAGGTTGGAACTGTTATTGGGCTTCTGGCCTTGACAGGACTGGTAGTCTTTATGCTTTTCTTTCTGGCAGCAGCTGTCAATGCCATTATAATTTCTCTTCTCGTGTCTTCAGCTGTGGCAGGGGGCTTCTTGGCTCTTTTCTTTGCCTGTGTGATGGCAATTTACATTGGGGCATTATCAGTTTGGGCTCGCACTTGGCTCTATCTAGATAGATCAGCCAACAGACTTCAGCTTGGTAGAGTTCTTGGGGATGAATGTCTATTGTTCTTGAGATTTGACTATACATTTTGTACCAGTTAAAGATTTAATATTATTTTTTGTGCACCCGAAGCTGGAGCCCGTTTCTTTTTTGGACCTTCTCAACCAACCCATGTATTCTCCCATAAAATTACTAGGCTCGTATTGAAGTTTATAGAAGCCGAACCCTGTGAATTTTCATGATGAATTTGCTCCTGATGTTACCATTTTGTTTCTTAAATCCTTGTGCATCTCAGGTTGGATTGGATTCTTTTAGACTATGTGGTTGGCAACAAAGAAAAGCGTGGGGCTCGCGAAGCATTCGTTGACTGTGACTGGATCAGCGCTTTCTGCTTACTCTTCTGCCCAGCATGCTCGCAGCTGTCATGAGGCATGATAAAGTTTCAGATTGATTGAATTGCTGCTGTAGAAACTAGTCCGTGTAGAAATTTAATGAAAAAAAAAAAAGGCAGTTTGTAGTCTTGTGTAGAAGTGTTTGAACTACATATATTTTTTTGTTTTGATAAACAATGCAGGTCTCTGAAAATGATAGAGAAGCTATCAGTACTACATACTTGGCAAGGCATCCAATGCATTCTGGGTAACTTTTTTGGCCACTTGTTTTTGAAGTTATAGTGCATAATGTGATGAATTTATAGCAATCTTTTGTATTTTTTTTTTCTTTTTCTTTCTGAGATTAACTTTTTTCCTTATAATTTAGTCTCTCAACAGTTGACAAAAATTGGGTTATTCAGGTTATCTTTAGCAGGAAGAAAATGAACTGCTTGGAGTTGATGGCAAGTATGACAGTATGTCAAGTTTCCAGAAAAAACCAAAGGAAGTGAATGTCAGGTTGATTAATTTTTTCTAATTAATGGCAAGTATGCAGTGTTTTTTATTAATTTTCCTTGGAGTTGATGGCAAGTATGCAGTGTTTTTTATTAATTTTTTCTGTAGAATGTCAGGTTGATTTTTTCCTTTGGTTTATGCTCTCAAATGTTTCTAGTTCAGACAAAGCACTGCAGTTTCGATGTCGATGTAATTGAATAAAAAACCAGAGAGAAGCAAGTGTAGTTTCATTTATTTCCTCACCCATTTCATTCATGAGAGATTAAATTTACTATTGTTGCTGACTCATTAATTTCTGTTCTTGCTGTTCTAAGAACTTCTATTTTAGCTAATAAAATGGTTTTTAATCTTTTGTCTTTTTAATCAACGAGTCCTGTGTGCTTATGTGTGTCCTTTTTTTCCTTTTCCCTTTTTCAGTATGGACTACCACTAAAAGTGGTGTCTTACAAGGAACTGTACGGATGGACAATGGACGAAATAGTGAAGATTATTCGATTAAAGAACAATTGCACATTTTGTGGTGTTTTCCGTCGCCAGGTAGAGCAGTTATGCATTTTCAAATTGATGAACTTAATTTCTCTTTTTTCCTGCCCTTGTTTCTGGATGCAGAAATGATGAAATGAATTGAGTTTGATTATAATGATGGAATGCTTTCTCTGCAAGGCCCTTGATTGTGGTGCCTCATTGCTAAAAGTAGACAAGCTAGCTACTGGGCATAATGTAGATGATATTGCTAAAACAGTTCTTTTAAACATATTACGAGGTGATATTGCTAGGTAATATCTCATCTAAGGTTTCTTTTTCTTTAACTTTTGTTTATTTGCTGAGCTAAGATTATGTTTTTCTGTTGTAGGTTGAGTTGATGCACATTCTATAACCAATTCCAAGATGCAAGCCATTTAAGTATACCTATGAAAAAGAGATTGTTATATATCCTTTCCATTGGGTTGATGATTTGTGCCTAAAGTTGGCATTTGTATATTAATCTGATTTTTTACTGATTCCTTTTAGTTGCCAAACCTTAACCAGCTGTTCACGTATGCATATTTTAAGAGGCTTGACTACTCCACTGAATGTAATTTTCAACCCCTTTTCATTTTTATTTTCTAGGAGGCCACATTTACTCACAGTTTCCTTCCTAATCTCTCCCCAGGAAATGGAATTATCATGTTTAACATTACATGCTATATTTCTCTTTTCCTTCATATGCCTACTTCTGTGACTCCTCATACTGGCACCTGAGATATTTTATTTATTTTGGATGGTGATTTTTTCTTTATAATTCTCTGTTTTCCTTAATTGGTTCTTTGATGGGATGATGATTTTTTTTGGCTTCAATATTTTGTAATTATGTACCATGGCTGTACATTTTTTAATAATTTTTTGTATTGCTATATTTAAAAGTTTGTCTGCTATTGAAATTACAGGCATTTAACATAAAATTAGCACCAATTAGAAAAAAAAAAAAAGAGGGTTATTACGGCGTTTCTAAGATGTCGCTAAATAGCAGCCTAACGGTTGGATTTTTTGGCGAAAGGAGATATGATGGCGTTTTAAAAATGTCGTTAAATAGCATGGTGACGTCCTGTGACCTTGAGTAGAATCTTTAGCGGTGTTTTTAAAAGTCAAGTGACGTTTCTAAAGCGTCATAGAGTTATAGCGACGGCCGCATCTTCGGTGTTTGGTGCTAACCGTCACAAAAGGATTTAACGGCGTTTTTAAAACTTATAGCGGCATTTTTTAAACGCCTCTAAAATTTCAATTTCCAGCAGTGTACTAGAAGTGAGACCTAAATAATATAAGGGAGTAGAAAGAGTAGATTTTTAAGGCTGATTATATTTGATTTAGAGTGGCTGTAAATTTTATTCTTTTTTAAGGGCGGGGAGAGGGGAAACAAATTAGGCCTTTGTGGCAACAAATGTTGGGGGCTATTGAGAAAAGGGTGGGCCTTTGGCTCTTCCACCTAGAATCCAGTGTGACATAAGCCAAAAATCGTTATAATAGTTATGTACCAGATATGATTTGTAACTACATTCTACACACCCACATACACAAATGCTTGCACATTTGCCTTACAACAAATTTGGGATTTAAAAACGAAACAAATTTGTCCCAAAGTGTATATATTTCATTACTCAAACTAATTACGACGAAAATTTTTCGTCACCCATTTTGTCGCCAAAGCGTCGTCGCTAAAGGGTCTTAGAGACCAAAAAACAAATTCGTCATTGAAAATGATAAATTTGTGACGAATTTTTTTGTCTCCAATACACTCTGTTGGGAACAAACTTGTAAGTAATTAGTGACAAAATATTTTGTCATTAAAGGAAGAAATTAGAGACAAAAGTATTTTGTCATAAATATAAGAAATAGAGACGAAGTAATTTTGTCACATTTAATATAAACGAAGACGAAAATATTTTGTCAAAGAAGCTACCAATAAAGACAAAATCAAATTCATCATTAAAAATGATAAATTTGTGACGAATTTTTTTATCTCCAATACACTCTGTTGGGAACATACTTGTAAGTAATTAGCGACAAAATATTTTGTCATTAAAGAAAGAAATTAGAGACGAAAGTATTTTGTCATAAATATAAGAAATGGAGACGAAATAATTGTCACGTTTAATATAAACAAAGATGAAATTTTTTTGTTAAAGAAGCTACCAATAGAGACAAAAACAAATTCATCATTAAAAATGATGAAATAATGTCAAAACAAATCGTCACACATTGAGAGTAATAGTGACAAAATGTGACAATATTTTTCGTCATGACAAATTCATTTAGCGACGAAATAAAGAATTCATGACAAAATTAATCTTCCACCTAAGCCAAATAAGAGACGAAAAAACCTTCTTTAGGGATGGAAAATTTTGTCACTAATTCCATAATATTTTTTTCCACATTATATACTTATTTTATCAAAATCTGAATTATAGTTCAATAAATATAACCCTGTTCATGTTGAAACCTGTTGAATATAACAATTTCATTCACAACTTAACCTAACTTATCATCAACACATTTACGAATTAATAAAATGAAAATATCCATTCATCATTATAAATAATTTCATCCTAATACAATAAAATAGTGCAATATCTAAAAAATATCCAAAAGTCATAACTTGTACAATTCCACCAAACATCCAACAATAACTAGTGCAACTCTACATAGTATGTATATCTTTATCAAACAAAATGAACATTCAAGCAAATTACATCATTGTTGCACGTCAAAAATGCCACCCCAATCCAATCTACAAAAAAATAAATTAAAAGCTTTAGTAATTAATTAATTATACAAAAGATTAAAAACATTAGTAACTCATCAATTTATCAATTATATAATTTATCCCTCTAACAGACTTTATTTTTGAGATTATGAGAACAAGAAATTAATTTTAAGGCTAATTCACAAATGGTGCATCCCATTAATGTGCCGTAAGTTCATACGCTTTAAGTATAGAGAAAAAGAAATATTTTTTACACTAATTCACAATTTATACATCTCGTGCACCTGTACAAATTGGATGTCCTATGCATGTTTCCATTACTTTCTAATTCTTCAAACATATATTCTTTTATAAAATTTGTTATATTAAAGTTAATATACTTTACCAAGAAGTATGTCCACTTGTGGATGAGTTTCCTCCACTTCCAAAGTGTCCAATGAATCTTTTGGTCCTCAAAAAGTTAACAACATCAGCCATTATCTCCCCTTGCTTCTTCCTACCCTTTGGTCCTCAAAACTAGTTTGTCTAGAATGAAATCTGGTTTTAACTCCCAAACTGGGAATCCGATTCAAGTCCCGTCTTCTTCCACAAGCCTCTCGTGCCTAGGCGGTCGTGTGTGCCAGGTTTCGTGGTGATTTCGGGACGTCAACACCTCGAATTCTAAGTTTCTTAAGGAACTAGTTTGCCTAGCGTGAAATTCGGCTCTAACTCCCAAACCAGGAACCCGATTTGAGTCCCGACTTCTCCCACAAGTCTCTCGTGCCTGGGCGGTCGTGTGTGCCAAGTTTCATGCTACTCTGACGTCGTTTGGTGATTTTGGGGCGTCAACACCTCGAATTCTAAGTTTTTTAAGGAACTAGTTTGCCTAGCGTGAAATTCGGCTCTAACTTCCAAACCGGGAACCCGATTCGAGTCCCGTCTTCTCCCACAAGTCTCTCGTGCCTAGACGGTCGTGTGTGCCAAGTTTCGTGCAACTCCGACGCCGTTAGGTGATTTTTGGGCGTTAACACCTCGAATTCTAAGTTTCTAGGGATGATTGATCAACTCTCCCTCTCAATCCGCACTTGTTAAGCCATATTTTTGCCTGTGTAGCCAGCTTCATTTGAGGAAGAAACATGTAGGGCCATTTCAGAACCTTATCCAACAACAAAGTATTCTTTGGTTTTCTATACAACTTCTAAAACAGTTTTTCCAAGAATTTGCTGAACTTGGGAATAGACAACAAGAGGAGCTTCTCAGAAGACTAGAACTGCTTCAACAATCCCATGATCATTTGGTTGAAAGTTCAAAAACAATATTGGCAGCTCGGGTTGGTGTTTCTATAAACCACTCATTCTTACATTCAAATACCTGAATTACTAGTGCATATTACTTTAAAAAGAGTTTTTTTTTTTTTTTATTGAAACCTCCATGTCTACTTACAGGAAGCTTTTGAATCAAAGCAAGCAAGCATGTTTGTGGCCTTAGATAAGCTCTTCGCCTTGCACAATGCCATGCTGCTTGAATCCCGATTTATTAAAGCTCTCTTCATTTACTCTTTCTCAATCTTCATCCTCTACATGTTCACTAGTACAAAGCAAACCTATGCTGTGAGACCCATGCTTTATGTAGGTATCACATCCAGGTTACTGATTTTCTATTTTTTCTATTTTTTTTAAATTTAAATAAATTAGAACTATTGGTTTTGGGTATTTTTATTTGTAGGGCTTTGTGTCACGTTCTTGATTGAATTTGCAACAATAAGGTATGCACCGGATGATATTGAACAACAAGCTTGGATAATAAGTGTGGTTAGGTCACTCGCTGTGGTTCTTGCATCAATCTAGCTTCTACATGCGATTTGTACATACAGGTATGCAGAATCAGATGTACTTTGGGTTATAAAGAATGCATTCACCGATCTTAATTTCCATAATCATGGCTTGAATATTATGCAGGGATTATGAACTGTTAAACTACCAGATGCTACTAAAACTAAATGAGAATCTCACTTAGCAGTTTTATGGCAAGCAAAGAAATAAAGAGGAGTTGTGGGATGTGGCCACGGATAGTGAAATGAACTGGTCTTCTTGGGTTGACACTAAGTTACCAGAAGATCTAGACAATCTTGAAGACAATGACTACATACTTCCAGAGGAAGTTGGGGAGAATTCAGTTGCAACAACCATAACAACAAAAAAGTACAATCTCCGTAGTTAGCAATATTATCTGTAATCTTATCAGTAATTTCACTAATTTCCCTCAAAAGTCTTGACCTATTTTGTATCTATTTATCACTTGATCTCATTTGCATGCACCAGTAATTTAACATTTTATGAGTTCACATTAAACAAATTCTGCTCTTCTATTATCCTCTTTTTTAGTTATTTTTTTAATGCACGGGATTCTTGAAATCTAGGAAGAATATAACATTATTTTCTCAGTTAATTCATACTATCATGGATTATTACAGTTCTGGGGGTTGCCACAGCCAAACTAGGTCCATTAACTGGGATATCATTTCGTAACATACACAAGCATTCCAATTACATTTGAAGTCAAGAAAAGGGTACAAAGAATTTAATGATTTTCAATTCGTTTTCAAGTATAACACAAAAGTCAAGAAAAGGGTAAAATGTACTCAACTGCATTGATGAACATAGCACCAATTAAAGCACATAAGAGAATATCAAACTTAAACAAGGATATACATATTTTTTCACATGGTAGCTGTGGCTAATTATCATATGCACTAGCATCCTTTGTACCTCCTAAAAGGAACCTAGGTTCTTAAATTACATGTTTGATATATCATATGCCTTTTCCACATTATATCTATAAAATGCTAACTGGACTTACATGTAAAAGAGCATTTGCAATCATAAGCCTCAATACATTAAGCTCAAAATGGAAATTTCATCCACCCATTATAGTGACAACATGTTTTCTCACTACTAAGTTCTCGAAAAGAATA